AAATCACCCAATCAAATTTCAACACTACTATACGTACTATACGTACTATACGCACTATACGTAAAGTATCGTATAGTGTCGTATAGTGTTCAACTATGCGCCATTTGCCCATCTCTAAGTGGACCGAGTCAAATTTCTCATTTTTCCTTTTTCGTATTTACTTGTAAACAATGGCAGTAGAGTAGTAGTAATTATTAAAAGAGGTATAATTATATAATTTATTTGTGTATTGGCAGTAGATAGTAGCTTTAGTATTAGCATGATTTTTTTAATGTCTAACTTTAGTCTACTTCTCAAGATGAATTTCTTTGGCTACGACATCACCATTCGATTATAATTTTAAATATACTTTCTCTATTAGATTGGTTGGCTGTGACAATGCCATGCGATTGAAAGGCGTGGTAATATTTTTATTACAATTCATTTGATTGTGTAACTTCGTCGCTCGAATAAACTTTTTTAATAAACTTTTAAATACCTAAATAAAAAACGCGTTCTTTTCCATTCTTATCAATTATCAATACACCTGCAAACGGAAAGAAAATAATGGCCATATCTAAAAACGCAACCACAAAAACTTCTACAACTACTAATAAAAAAAGAACTGCGACAAATAATTCAATTAAAAAACCCCCTAATGTTAGTAATAGTAGAAACAATAATAAAAATAATCCTTCAACAACAAATAAAAGAAGTCAAACTCGAAAAAAAATCAATAACGATGATGATGATTATGCACCAACCGATGATAATAATAAAATTTTCAATGATTCTGATGATTCCTCTTCTGATGATGGCAATGATAATACTGACGAAGAAGATGATATGAATAATGTTAGCAATGCTTTTAATGATGCAAAAAGTACAAAAAGCCTCGGGTAATAATTAACGTTTATATACGCATTGTACAATTGATGATGACGATGATAATAATAATATGATTATTAATAGATATTCTGATATGGCAGAATTGATTGGAATTATTCAAAGTAAATATTAAAATATTTTTATTCCATTAATCAATTCATTCCCATTATTTAATTCGAATACTATTAATAAAGAAAAAACACGCGAAAAAAATACATCAAAATTTACACAATTCGGGAAAGAATTAAAATCAAAATTAGATGAAGCAATTAATGAATTAATTGGTGAAGATAACGGCGTTATTAATAATTGGGCTACTGAAATGTATAACCTCTATAGCACTTATAGTAGATAGAACAAAAAACAAAAACCCATTTACCAAATTTTATTTTCTGCTGATTGTTATGTATAATTATTATCAATAGGAAAGAAATCCACGAGGGAATGAAGAGAAAAGGGAGTGAACACTTGGAAAGAGACGATGAATCAATCAAGAGGTTGAAACTTGATCTCGAAAACAATCTGGTTAGTTTACAGTCAAAAATTTTTCTAATATTATAAATAATTAATATTTTCTCTATCTTGTTTTGTTCTAAAAAATAGTCTAGCAAAAAAAATTTTTTTGATGATTTGTCAAAATTTGATTCGAGTTCTCAAAGGTTTCATCGAAAATTTGTTGATGATTTAACACAATTACGTAATGACAAGAAAATTTCTACTTATTATTATTATTATATATTTTTTATTAATTATTAAAAAGTTTTTCAAAAAAAAGGTGACATAGAAAGATACGAAATAGATGAAAAGTTGAAACAATTTACTAATGAACAAGATCGCATCAATGGCTCTTTATTACGTAAGAACAAGGTAAAGATTTATTTATTTCATTTTATTCTAATTGCCATCAAGTTATTTATCGTCGTCGTTATTATTAATTTAGGAATGTCATAATATCTCTAAATTAAAAAAACACTTTTTGCAAATTTGATGAACGAAATTGAATTATTAATACTTAACATTAATAAAATGGAAAATAGTCTCGGGAAAATTTAAAAAAGTTTGAACATTATTATTATTAAAAAAATTTTTTTTTTAAAAAATTTACAATTTATTAATCAACAAGAAGCGAAGCCGAGCATCAGTAATGTTCCGAGCTTAGGATCCCTTAAAATGCTATAGAATCCTTAAGTTTTTATCAGTATTTTTTTACACGTGGTCTACTATTTAAATTCGTATTAGTATGTTACATAACAAACAGTTTTTTTTTTCATAGGCAGCAGTTGCAGCATTAAATGTCAATTTTTTGGGATTGCAACCTCCCAGTTGCAGAGTTCATCTTTAAACACATCTACAACCTACTTCTAAGAGATCAATATTACTTTTGTTGTTACTCTTTCATACACATATGAGTGACTGCTTGTAATATACTTTCCCTTTAGTTTCTGGAAGAAACACAAAGAATGTTAATAATATTACACCTTTTTATTACAAATATTTTATTTTTAGTAAATAATAATAATAATCATTTAATTATTTATTTTTTCATTTCATATAAAAATTCTTTTGCATTATCCCCTGAAACCAAGCAAACCAATTATTTTTCTTCTCTAATGTTCTATTTGTTGTTAAAATTCATCAATATCATTTAGGGATTCTCTATTCTCTGATGAAATATGGTTTAGATTTGCACATTTAGAATAAAATTCATAAACTGAAAGCTCACAATTCCCAACTTTCTTTTGGAAGGTCTGGAAGTTTGGTTTCACGATTGGTATAAGGTTGTTCTGAGACTTGTAAGAATATCTTGAGATGCTCAATGCTGTAAATAAAGAAATCAATTACAAATGCACCACACTAACGCACATGGAATGTCCCTGGATGTGAAAGTTGGCAGTTTGGGAACTGTTGTTCATAAGACACCCCTTATTAATTTGGTTAATTCAATCAAGCTCAACTACAATGATAAATTCGAAGAAAATAGAAAACAATGAGGTGGTGGTATTATGGGTATTAAATCTCAAACAATGATGGCCAAAAGAGAAAAATTGGCTGGCAGAGAAATTAAATAAAATAGCACATATATATTTTGAAAACTATATAGCATTGATATCGAACTTTTTCAAATCTTATTAGCAAATGATGAAGTTTAATATGTATACTACATAGTAAATTTGTTTTAATAAAAATGACATGTTGATTTATCATGACCATAATAATAGTATAATAATAGTATAGAAAATGAGAAAAGCACTATGAGATATAATGGCATTGCTGTTGTAGCGGAGGGAAGACTCTTGTAGCAATTTATTTTGCAAATATGGTTTATCATAAGATAAAAATAATCTGGATTAAAACTTAATCCAAAGGATATACCTTTCCTTCAAGTTTTACGTATATCATTTCCTTTAACAAAAGCTGTGCCCTTCTTTTCCTCTATGTGATCTCTAAATCCCAAACTTTAGAATAATCAAATATTCAGATTTATCAAAACCGTTGGATTCGGCAGATAATCTAATAAAGTATTAATATTATAGCAATAATTTTATAATAATTTATAAATTTAGTTAAAAGAATTAATAGAAAAATCAAAAAATATTATTTAGAAATGAAACAAAATTCGAAATGTTTTTTATAACCTAAGTTTAAAAGAAAATAAAGAAGGATGAAGGAAATGATTTTTAAAAATCTGACGATTCCAACTTGTTGTCTGCAAACTGAGTTTAAAGCAACTCGATTTTGGTATGGAACAACTTTCACTTTTGTATGCCCACTTGACGGTTTTTTAGACGAATTGCAACCCATTTTTAATACCACGAAATCACGACGCATTCGAGCAATAAATCTACTTTGAATGAAAAGCTATGATAACCATTGAAATTTTTCCAAGGGAAACATTCATTTAGCACGCAAGTCGTACGAATTTCAAGTAAAAAATAGATGATTTAGTTTTTTTAAAGACGATCAAAATGTTTGAAATATCCGGCTTTATGAGTAAACATTCACTCATTCACTTGGATACAATACATAAATCTTTTTAACTAATAGTGACAAAGTTGTAAATACTATTATGTGTAGAATCAAGTATAGAATATTGTTTAAACTTCTGCCATCAAGCACCCATAAAGTTTTATTAGAAGTGAAATTTTTAATATAATAATTTCTTACTAATTATAATCAATTGTTTTAATATTACAACTTTATGAGAAACGTTAAAGGCAAGTATTCATCATAAATTCTGTTATCAGCTGAAAATAATTATATTTTTCAGTTGATACAGTACAATTATCTGATAACACGTTTATGGTTTTGCATAATTGAATATATTGTCAAACTTTATTACTTTATAACATAATTCATCAAATAGTAATGGACTTGACTTTAAACATAACTATCTAAAATAGAAGTGGTGTATTATTTCCATACCATTTCAGATTTTACAACCAATAAAATAAACTTTCCTTCCGCCATACTATATTAATATTATTACAATATGCAAAATGGACGTCGCTAAAATACTGACACCCATTTCGCATATTGTAATAATGTTAATATAGCATTCGTCGATTATTCAACGATTATCTCGTTGATTAATCAGCGAACGTTATTTGATGATTACTTGGTTGATTAATCAGCGAACGTTATTCGATGATTACTTGGTTGATTAATCAGCGAACGTTATTCGATGATTACTTGGTTGATTAATCAGCGAACGTTATTCAATGATTACCTGGTTGATTAATCAGCAAACGTTTATTCGATGATTATCTGGTTGATTAATTAGCAAACGTTTATTCAATGATTACTTGGTTGATTAATCAGATTCAATGATTACTTGGTTGATTAATCAGCAAACGTTTATTCGATGATTATCTGGTTGATTAATTAGCGAATGCTATTCGACGGATATACAGTACAAAATGATGTTTGAAACTCGAGAGTTTCAAATTTGCCGTTTTTGGGTATAAAATCTAATACTAATTTTATTTTAATCGCGGCTAAAAATTTAAGAGGTCCCACCAACTTTTTAGGATCATCATTCCGAAATTTAATTAATTTAATATGTCAAAAAAACTTTAAATCAATTACGCGGGCTACTTGAAAGTTTTTTTAATGATGTTAATATAATAATAGCAAAAGGCAAGTTTTTTATAAATACAAGTAGTGTTCTAACAAAATTATTTTTCATCAACAAACAAACTTTTATTTTTTATTAATTTTTTCAATTATACAACAAACTACAAAAATGACTAGTTTTTATGAATTAGAAGCTCTCGACATTAAAAAAAATCCTTTGAAATTTTCACAATATAAAGGAAAAACTTTATTGGTAGTGAATGTTGCTTCAAATTGTGGATATACTCCACAATATGATGGATTAGAAAACCTTTATCAAAAATACAAAAATGCAGGATTCGAAGTTCTTGGATTTCCCTGTAATCAATTCCTAGGTCAAGAACCTGGTACCGAAGAAGGTAAATAAACAAATAATTTAAATGTTGATTTTATTATTTTTTATTAAAAAAAAAGGGTAACATTTAAAAAAATTCATTTGGGGAAAAAAGAAATCGAAAAGTTTTGCAGAAATGACAAACATCATGTGACTTTTCCGTTATTCGCAAAAATTGAAGTCAATGGTGAGTCAACAAGTCCAGTTTATCAATTTCTGAAGTCAAAGTTGCCAGGAGATATTAAATGGAATTTCGAAAAATTCTTGATCGATGGACAAGGAAATGTTGTCAAACGCTATCTTTCTGATGTTAAGGTAAAATAATAACAATAATAAGGCTGGACTTATTTCCAAAAAAAAAAAAATTAATAACAACAACATTTTTATTTGCATTTTTTAGCCTGATGGTTTAGAAGACGACGTTAAAAAATACATTTAAAAAAATAAAAAAACTATATATTCTATGAAATATGTTTTACTTTTTAAAAATAGTAAGAATTAAATAAATAAATAAATAAATAAAAATTTTTTCTATGTAATGCATGTATCTTGCTTGTATATTGAAAGTGTAGAGACTAGCTATAAAATAAATTCGGCATGACGCCCTACACAATTCCTTAATTTCAATATCTATTGAAAAGCGAGTTTTAGAAATCTTAAATATATCATTAAAAATGCAGGAGTCAAATTTTAAAAATTGTATATATGTAAAATTAAAAGTAAACCCAAAAACAAATGCACAGACAGATAAACTTTAGTGAGTGGGGATGGTGACCCGGTTTATCAAAGAATCCGAGTTATCAAAACATGTGATTATTTATTTCAAAAAAATATTTATTTATATTTATTATTAAAAGCTTACAAATTATTAATCCCTTAAAAATCGTAAGATTATTTATTTATTTTTATTTTAAAAATAAAAATAACTAAAATAGTAAAATTACCTCATACGTGTCACACAAATCACGTGATCAGGGTATCTGCTAACAAGTTTATATATATTAAATATTCGATATTAATATTAACATAGTAATAGGGAAAAGGGGCTGAAAAATCTGACTGTGTATCGCAAGTTTTTGAAGAAGTGTCAAAAATGATGTTCTTGAGATATCTCGTGATTTTCTCGTACTCCAAGAAAAAATATGTAGACATTTTAAATGGCCAACAATGTGTATATGTGGATCCTAATAAAGGTGATTTTGTTTATTGTATGGATGATATCTCAATAAATGAAATTAAAAAGGATTATCAAAAATAACAGGCAAAACCTTTTAAGTATGGCAATTTTAAATTAATTCCATGAAGAAATTTTTTAATTTATATGGAGGTAAAATTATTTTTTTAGACGGCTTGGAAGACGTGAAGAATCTGCGACCTTCCAGAACATCTTGAAACTTTCATAAAAGTAAAAGATCCACGACCAGAAAATGAACCTTGCACATGCATGGACTTAGTATTGGTTTTAAAAAAGATAAAACTATGAATGCATGTCATCAAGTGACTTTCAAAAAAAGTATTAAATTTAATATTAAATGTTGAATATTAGGTTACACTTGTAATATTTTTTTAAATTTTTAATATATATATATAGCATTCTTTCAAAATTACCCACGGATTCATTTTACCTTTTTTCGCGCCACCCCAAAAAAATATATCCGATCATTCATTTTATTATTATTTTTTTTTTATAATTTCTAATGACAAAAATGACAAAAATTACAAAAAAACGAAAGAACTTTATTAAATCTGAAACTACTACCACAGATACTCCGTTATCCTCACTTAACAACTCTCAACTAAACTGTAAACAAGATCCATTACAACATGATCAACAGCATCTAATTCAAAATCAAAATCAAAATCAACAACAACAGCATCAACAATTACACCATTTACAAGATAATAACAAAAGTAATAATTTTAATCATAATCAAAACACAGAGAAGGTTGGAGAAATACTACAACGTCAACATTATTACAATGGTAATACAAAAGCCACCGGCTTGACGAAGGAAGAGATTTTAAAAAGTGTAGTTATTTGTTTCTTTGAAATCAAAAAAAACCCCTTCTAAAAGAATATACATACAATATTATATAAATTTATTTATTGATTTATTAAATATTAAAATATATATAATATATATTAATGGTGATATTTTAATAAATAAATAAATTAATTGATTAATTAGGAAACATCAAGTAATTTACTTGTAGACCAACCATCAATTAAAAAATGGAAAAATATGACTGTACGAACAATTTGGACATTTGTGATGATTGGTGGTTTTTTTGCAATACTTGCATTAGGCCATATATGGGTGATCTTGTTAGTGGAGATTATTCAAACTTTAGTTTACAAAGAAGTTATTGCGATCGCTCATTTGCCAAGTAAAGAGAAAAAATTGCCATGGTTTAAAACATTGAATTGGTAAAATTTTTGATTTATTATTGTTTTAAATGTAACCTGTCGAAATAATAATATTTGTTAATATTTATATAATAGGTATTTTCTAGTTAGTACAAATTATTTTCTTTATGGTGAATCGATAATTCATTATTTTAAGGAAGTTGTATTGGTAGATGCATTTTTACTTCCACTTGCAACACACCATCGATTCATATCATTTGCTTTATACTGTACAGGTAAAAACTTCAATATATATATATATATATATATTTAAAATCAATCAATCAACCAATCTTTAATTAATAATTTCATTTTCTCTTTCTCATTAATATTTAGGATTTGTGTTTTTTGTTGCAAATCTTAAAAGAGGTCATTATAAATTTCAATTCACCCAATTTGCATGGACACATATGACACTATTGATCGTTGTATGCCAAAGTCATTTTATCGTTAATAATATTTTTGAAGGATTGATTTGGTGATTATAAGTTATTTTATTGACAAAAGTATAATAATCATAATTCTAATAATAATATAATATTATTGATAATGGTAGGTTTGTTTTACCGGTGTCTTTGGTAATTTGTAACGACATTTTCGCTTATATTTGTGGATTCTTTTGGGGCAAAACTCAGTTGATAAAATTGAGTCCTAAGAAGACATGGGAAGGTTTTGTTGGAGCATGGATCTGTACTCTAATATTTGGCTCCTTTGTAAGTAATTTACTATAAAAGCATCAAAAATCAAATTAAACTTTCAATTAATATATGTTATATATATACACAAAATTTTTTTTTCAGTGGGCTTCTTTGTTAAGACGTTGGGAATATATGATTTGTCCAGTTAAGGTTTGTAAAATTGGTTATTATTATTCAAACGACTATATGATGTCTATTTGTGTTGAGAGTCAATCATCTAATTAATATTTAAATCTATTTTGTAAACTATAGGAGCTTGGTGTAACGGCATTTTCTGGAACATTAACTTGTGATCCAAATCCAGTTTTCATTCCACAAAATTATGATCTTAATCCTTGGCTGGCTGCACTTTTCAGAAGATTTGTTAGTATTTATATTATTATTATTATTATTATTATTATTATTATTATTAGTAGTAGTAGTAGTAAATATAATTTCAAATATATCAATCATTACAATATTTATGTAAATACTAGCCATTTACAGATGTTAGATCTGTTTGGATTGCGCCACTCGAATGGCATGTTGTTTTTATGACATGTTTTGCATCACTTATTGCACCATTTGGTGGATTTTTTGCTAGCGGAATTAAAAGAGCATTCAAGTTGAAGGTTTATTTGCTTTTATTTTATGTGCGATTTCGAATTCATGACGAATGATTACTTATATATTTTGATGTTTACTAGGATTTTGGTGATTCAATTCCTGGACATGGCGGTTTAACTGATCGTATGGATTGTCAATTCTTGATGGGATTATTTTCATATATGTATTATCAAAGTTTCATTAAGGTAAGCTAGCTAGCTATAATAACCTTGAATATTCATACTTTATATTTATATAATTATTAAAACTAAATGATTATTTTTCATTAATAATAATAAAAAGACATCAACTGTTGAAGTGGGAACAATTCTTCAATCAGCAATCAATTCACTTAAACCAAAAGAACAACTTGAATTATTTTATAGTTTACAACAATATCTGATAGGTCAAAATTTATTATCAGATGAACCAGCTATATCATCTAATATAATCTAAATAAAACAACCCACTTTTTTCTTATAAGGAAAGACAAATAATTCTAATATTTTTTTTATAATATATATAATATAATTATTATATTTACGTAATTAGAAAAAAAATAAAAAATAAAACAATAATAATAATAAAAATATATAATATGTGGGGCAGGCAGGCTATAACAAAATCATAAAAGTGAACATTACATCGCAAGGATCAAAATCGTATCAACATAATGTAATATTAATTTTTTACTCGAATATTTTATTTCGTTTCTTGTTCCAACTTTTTTAGTTATTCGATATCCTTCATATAGAATAATTGAAGTACTCAACACAAAAGTATAGATGGATTAAATAAGGGTTTAGATTTTCATGTTCAGGCTTGTTTTCATTTTGTTGATAGGATCTTTCTTCGGTCTGAATTCTTTTGAAATCCTTGTTCGTTATTGAAATATGGATTAATGAGGCTAAGCACTTTTTCAACACGCTCAAGTATTATAATTAAGAACTAAACCAACATACTTTTAGTAGGGATAATATATTATGAGTTGAAAGTTTAGTGTAATTAGTTCATATACACAAAGATTCAGAGAGATCCATCCTTTCCACATTTTTAGGTTCAACACCAATCGTTTTCTTATATTAAGGAAGGATTTCTTTGGATTTTCCATATCAAACGCAAGTCATCATCAGCATCACAATAAATTTTGATATCAAATCCTAAAACATGTCCCTCTGTGATGATGATTTTATTAGGTTTTTTAGCTTCATCGCTCTATGGCTCATCTAATTTTTTGTCGATTAATCTGTGATGTAGTCTTTTCTTGCAAAAAAAAAAAAAAAAAAAGCTCTTCAATGCCCCTGCAAGTCATTCTTCGTCTAATTTCCTTTCCGATCAAATACGTTACCATTCACACATATGAAGGATAAAATGTCGAGCATCTTTCGCTTCAACTCATATATTTTTACAATGTTGGATTTTCCTGAACAACTAGGACCAGCAGCAATCAACATTAAAATTGGGTTTTTTGTTTATTATTTATCATTATACCATTTTATGATATATGGAATTATTCTCATATAAAAATATAAATATAGAAAGAAAATTATAAAATTTACAATTTTCTACTCTAGAAGCCTTTAAATATATGTTATTAATTAAACTATTGCATAAATATATTTTTGTTTTTAAAAGCTCTTCTTGATAGTGTATCTTGTTCTCTTAACTACTGTTTCAATTTCTTTTATAATAAATCCCTTTATTCTTTCTGAGCATACACTATTAGTTAAAATAAATGGAAACAGCGATACTTACTGCCAGTGTTAATAATATACATAAAAAGTCGGATTATGATAACTCGGATTCTGCAAAAGAGATCCAATAAAAGATCCCTGGATACGGTTGACGTATTGCGTACACTTATCACGCCTTCCTTTCAGAGTCAATCACCTATTAAAATCAGCCCGTATGTTCTAATTTCTTTAGGTGGTGGTCAATCACTTATCGAAGCGATTATGTAGTTTTTTGAAAAAAGAGAATGCCATATTATGTATAGTTCATCTTGAATAGACCGCTGATTTCAATACGTTACGTTTTACTTTCTTCGTGTTGCTATTTGCATCAAAGCTTGCTTTCCTTTCTTCATTAGTTATTTCGAATCGACGATGTTCTACGCTTTCAGATACACATTCACCAATACAATAATAGATAATTGGGTTTTTGATTTTTAATATTTCTTAGTATATTAAGGAGTGGAATTATATGTATCATCCTTAGCCTCGGGTCACTTGCAAAATAATGAAGCACCAGCTCTTGTACGAGGCATAAGCATGAGAAGGCTCCTTGGTTTTTTTTTACGAATAAAAAAATAACCTTTTCTACTTTCTCTGTCAAAATCAACTATTGCATTATTTATTACACATTTCATTATCATTTTTAGATACAAGTTTCCATCTTTTAATTTTCTAGTGATGACATTTTTTTTAACTTAACCATATATCAATTAGAATTTTGATAAGTTTTCTACCTATTTTCTAAAAATGATTATTTAATAACAAATTAATAATTAGTAATATAATTAGTATAATTGTTATTACAAGAATATATCAATTAATAATAAATAAAATAATTCTTTCTGATTTCGTTTAACCATTAACCTTTGGAAAAGAAGTCATGTTCCTAAATATATATAAAAATATTAATATAAAAATCGATATAAAAGTAAATATTAAAAAAAAATCATGTTACCATTACTCGGGTTCATAAAACTAACTTTTCTTTATCTCTGCCTTATATTATTCTACCTTTGCGTATTACCAAAGGTTATATTTTCGCGCTCTATAAACCTTTTTCACATAGTTATTTATTGCCTTCAGGTATCATTTTTCCATGTAAAAAAGTCCAGGACGCTCTTGCATCACTTTTTACGTGTTTGTACTTTTGGGCACTATTAAACTACTATTACTATTACAAAACAAATGCGATGATAATAACCAAATTTTGAACCCTGAAGTCCTTGGTAACACCAATGTTCACTTTGTCTGATTTTGTTGCAGCATGCCTCATATTATCTTTTAAAGATTAAAGTTAAAAATAGGTTTGATAAAAAAGAATCAGCATAAGTTGGTCTGGATTCCTTGGGTTTTACTTCAATTATTTGCTCTTGTTTCCATTTTGCATTTTTTCCTTGGTAATACTGGCAAAGGCTTATTGGCTAAATATAATTCCTGTTTTAATTGCTGAATTTCTTGGGCTTGTTTGTTCATCTCTTGTTGATTGGCTTTCAATTCAAGAGAATACCTTGTATTTCCTGATTCTTGACTGTCTCTAATAAGGTTGCTTGCTGAAACTTCTTAATGACTGCCAAAACTCTGCGCAAAAACGACAAAATTACTGAATTTAGAAAAAGACAGCAATAGTAGTAGTAACACGGCAAAATTTCTTTAATATTAATGTGTTAACGGAAATCAAAAATTATAATCTACGGATTTTCATTTCTCATATTTCTTATGTCTCCTTTATCTCATTTTCGTATTTCTTTATTTTACTTCTTTATCCTTTACTTCATACCTTACGAGGTCAATTCATTTTCTTATACTTTTAATTTACAAATTTAAATGCAATTTAAAAGAATTTAATTCGGAACATATTAAATCAGAAACCTTTGTTAAAATATATCAACAAATTGTAGAAGGAAGGATTAGAGATCCACAATTAATTGATCTAGTCTTCAACATTTCTACAGGACTCCTCAACAACTATCCCACTTACATTACCAATCGGGATCAACTGAAAATATTTATAAAAATAAATCTTGTTACTTTTGTGAGTAAAGGACACATAAAAAATATTGTAAAGTCCAAGGACTAACAGAAGCGGGAAAAATGGAATTCATCTTTCAGAAGCCACTTTGTTGTACCACTGCAAAAGAAAAGGAGGGTTGCAACAATTTAATTAAAAAGGAGAATATTATCCCGGAGGAAATTTCTTTTGAAGATATCCCAGACGATTTGCCTTACGAGGATTAATTAAATGAACTTTAATATTATTGAAAGAAATACTTTAGGACACAAAAGACAACATCGATTATATTCACGTTTAACATCTATAACTCACATTCATTGAGATCTATCTTGCTCAAAATGTCATCCATTACGTCAAAGCTTCTCACCAGAATTCCTCGCATTTTGGAATCGGATAACTGATAATTATCAAGCTATAAATTGCACTTCTAATACTATCCTTGCTTTTGAGCATTTATTAACAGAACACGATCCATAACAAGTCCCCAAAGTATTATTAATTAGTATCGGATACCAGAAGATTTTACCCAATTATATCAAGATTATATAACAATAGCAGCTATGACTAACTTATTTACATTAGCACCAAACGAAGTTATAAGTTTTGTGGAACAAAAAAATGAAGAAAATAATAGTCCAAGCAGCAATTCTGAATTAAGTGATAACTCAGATAGTGACTCAGACGAAGATTCTATTCCAGATCTCGAAAACTTTTTGATTTAAACCAGCCAATAGTAAATCTAACAGCCAAACCAAGTCCCAATGAATGCACAAGATATACAAGCTCTTGCAAATACACTTGCTCAATTGGTAAATGCAATAGCACCACCACCAGCGGCTGTACCAGAGGAATTAAACAATGTAAAATACCCAGATTATTTAGGATCCAATTACCTGGATAGAAGAAATAGAACAAGCCTTTGTTGCAAATAGAGTAGAAAATGATTGGAAAGTAGAAATGGCAGTACCAAGATGAAAAGCAGGAGCAGCCACTTGGTTGAATCAAGCTCAAGGTAATATCCAACACTGGAACAGTCAGACTGACAATGGTGCAATACAAGAAGTTTTGTAAGGATGGGCAGCTGAATTAAAAAAACACTGTAGATGCTTTTGCAGTACATATCTTTGAATTGTTCAGAAGAATTTAACACAGAAGGAACAATTATCCGGCCACAGTAAAGTCTAGAATGTTTATGGAAAGGTTACGACCTGAATTATCTACAGCAGTTAGTCCGTTCTTTACCTGATGATATACAAGAAGCAATTAATAGAGCCAAGGCTTACGAAATAACCTACTCATGAGGGGGAACTCTATCTGTTTACTCAGCAGAACGATTCATGCCCAACATTCCAGGATTAAATAAAGGAGTGGACCAACAACTGCAAGAATTAATTAATCAACTGTCTAACACTAATGAAAAGATACAACAACTTTAGAGCAATGTTTGTTTTTTATCAACTAGAAAATTGACATCTTCGTTTTAAATATTTATAATACTTCATTTAATAGATATGTATATGATAATAATAATTCAAGTTTATTTATATTATATTATATCATTTCCTATAAAACATTTATGAAATTTGTTCAACTTTTAACATAAATGCATCAAATGTTAAAAGCAGAGAGGATAGCAGTAGCAATAAAAGTAGCAGTAGCAGTAACATGAGAATAAAACAAGTTAATAGTTATATTATTACGTTAAAAATTTCTGAAAGTAACACAATACTGATACTGCGTACATTCAATAAAATTGATCTGATGTCACATGTTCAATATACAAAAAAAAAATCTTCAAAGGAGAATTTCTTTTACAGCTTCGAATATAATATAATAATAACTGATAATAAAACGATTCTTTACTTTAAAAAAAAGGGATCCAAAATTTATGATCCAATAATTAACTAATTAACTAATAAAATTAATTAGATAAATAGATAGATAGACAATCAATTTATAGTAAAAAAAATGACTGATCTTGATCTTGAAAGTGTTTACCAAGATTACTTGGCGTCTTTACAAGACTTGACCTTCAACTCTAGGCCAATAATAACCAATTTAACCATTATAGCTCAAGAAAATGATTTTGCTGCAAGGGCTATTGTACAAGCAATAGAAAAACAAATCCATATTGTAAGTATATAAAATCGTAGTAATTAAATGAAATATAGATGTTATAATGCATATTTTCTCACACACATTCACACATTTTCTAGTGTTTGCCTGAACATAAATTACCTGTTTTATATCTACTTGATTCTATCTGTAAGAATGTTGGCGGAACTTACGTTCATCTATTCTCAAGAAATCTTTATAACATATTTATGGAAACGTATAACTCTGTCGATCAAACTACAAAATTAAAGCTTGAAAAAGTGTTGATTACATGGAAAAGTGGTCCAAGTGGTGAACCAGTGTTCTCGAATGATGTGATTGGTTCAATTGAAAGAGCCCTAATGAAATTGCAAAGATATCCTTTTCAACAACTAAATGGATCAATTGACATTACTAATAATGATAACAACAACGGCAACACTAATAATATTATTAATAGTGGAACTGGTAGAAATTATATTCATATTAATCCTAATTTCTTAAGTAGTGTTGTAAGTATCTATTTATATTATTATTATAATATAGAAAAAACTTTTTCGTATTCCTTCATGTTTATTTTTCTTCGCAGAATCAACCTATTATTCAACCACCACTGCAACAACAACCTTTACCTCAGCAATACACGAATACTAATTCGATCAGAGGATATTACAATACTCAACAACAGGTTAGCAATATTTCCTGAAATCAATAATAATGATAATACATATTGAGTTTTATTTTCTTCTTCTCGTCATCATCATTGTTTCTTTGATTCTTGTTAATTTGCCTCAAAAATATAATGATTACGAGGAAGAAGATTGTCATATCCTTCTACTGCTGCTGCTGCTACTGCTGCTACTACTATACATAATATAACGAAAATTGATTGATTTTATATAAAACTAATATTATTACAAAAGAGCCCCTGTTCAGAGAATGGAAATTTAATAATTATAACTAATTAGTGAGTGGTGTGTTAAGTATAATTGCATTTTGACATATGGTAAAGGAAAAGGAAAAAAAAATAAAAAATAATGAAAAAGAGAACTAAATATATTGACTTAAATATAAATATGTGCTCAACTATAATTTCTTTTCCGAAAAAAAAAAAAAAACCAAAATTCTAAAATAAATAATAAACAAAAAAAAAATTAATAATAATAATAATAATAATAATAATTAAAAAGAAGAAATTAATTAATTATCTAAATTATCAAAGATTTAAGGAAATATCGAATATTATTAATTCATATATGTTTTTATATAAACAATTTTTAAAAACAAATTTTTCAATTCCTTCTGAATTATTATAACTCACTATATTTTTTTTTATTTTTATTTTTTTTAACGCATAATATAACTATAATTATTAGTATGTCAACAAGCCTTCAATTCCTTTGCATAATCAAGTATTCATTCCTCCACCAGAACAGCAACAATTATTACAAGAATGTAAATCGTTAATTTTGTCACGTCAACAAAATCCATCAGATTTAACTAATCAAAACCAAATCACTTATCTGCAAAAGGTTTGCAAAAAAAACTAATTAATTGATCTAATTGATCATTTTAATCAACGAATTCTTACAATCGTTAATCCATTGGTTATATATTAATAATACATGAATGAATTTATGTAGTTATCTGAAGCACTTCAACAAAAATTTGTTACAAATGAAGAAATTCAGCAGATAAGACAAATGCTTGCTGCAAATAGTTTAACTAACATTATTCAATCCACCTCTACTCCTACATTTGCACATGCTTCTACCACTACCACCACTAATATAATAAATTCTACTACAACATTTCCAATACCATCTCAATCAAATACTAGTACTAATACTAATACTAATTATTTTTCAAATATTTTAAAAAATTCAGTAATCTCATCTCCAAATTTTAATACTATTCAACAACAACAACAACAACAACAACATCATCAACAACCTGCTACATCAATGCCTCAATTACATCTTATTAATCATCATAATCATCATCATCATCACAATACTCAACAGCAGCAGCAACAGCAGCAACAAAACCATCATCCACTTTCACCATTATTTACTAATATTATTAACAATGACAAGATATTTAATGTAAAAGATTTAGAAAAAATTCAACTTACAAGTCATGATATTCAATGGTAACTAATTACATTATTAATTATTCATGATTATATTATATACAATAATCTTAACAATAATAATGACAATAATAATAATAATAATAATATAGTAAACGTGTAGGAGTAGTTGCAATTCTTTATGATGCATTGCCATCTCAATGTAAACAATGTGGAATCAGGTATGCTAAAGATTCTAAAAAGATTGGTATACACTTGGATTGGCATTTTAGACAAAATCGTAAGATGAAAGAGAAGGCAAAGAAAGCTCAAAGTAGAAGTTGGTTTATTACTGAAGAGGTTTGTTTCTTTTTTTGTTTTATGAAATAATAATAATAATAATAATAATAATATTTTTTTTTTTATTTTTAGGATTTTATCAATTCAAGAGAATCAGATTCAAAAAATGGAAACACACCAACATTTTTTGAATCCAATTCCAATTCTTTTAAATTAAATAAAAATATTAGTGGTATTAGTACTAGTAGTATTGGAGGAACTTTTAGATCAAAAAAAGATAATAATAATAATAATAATAACAATCTTGGTAGTAATAATAACAACAATAATGATCTTATCAATGAATCTACTGTTGTTGTACCACTTGATATTGAAAAAACCAATAAACCATGTCCTATTTGTAAAGAAAAATTTCAAGTGTTTTGGAATGATAATGAAGAAGAATGGATGTTTAGAAATGCTGTGGAAATTAATGATGGTATTATTTGTCATGCTACCTGTCACGCTGATGCATTAAAGGTTTGTTTATCCATATAATGTTTGTTGATTGATGATATTGAATTTTTATGAAGTATTACCATTATTGTTATTATTTGTATTAATGATTAATTTTTTTTTTAAAAAAAATAAATATTAATCCATCTAACCTAGCTTAATGTTGGTGATAATAAAGCATTTTGAATTCTTTATTGTTATCATTATTTTTTAAAATAGATGGAAAGTGATATATATATATATATATATATATATATTCTAAAATCATAATAATAATAAATATAGATTATTTTTTATAATCTTTATTGATGCACTTGCTTTTCTTTTTTCTTTTATAACTAACATTTTCAATTGGTTGATTGATCAGATAGTTGGTTCTATTTTTCTAGAATTTCTATTATATTCATGTTATAACCCTTACTTATTATTAATAAAGTATATATATTATTGGGCATAAAATAAAAATGGTATCAATACTTTTATGATTTTCATTTTATATATATATTAATATTACCATAGTTGGCTCAGTCTAAAAACTTCCCAAATTTTGCACAAGTTTTAAAAGTATAAAAGTCACTTTCTGTCCTACCTTTTAAAAAAATAGCCTCATTAGTTAATGGAATAAGTCACCAGTTTTAATGCAATGAAGAGATTTTCTCAAAAAAATTTTTTTGTTCTATTCTTTCTTAGTACATGTATTTTACTATCACTATGTTCACGAAGGACCTGGAAAACTATCGAACGTCACCGCACGCTTGATCATATTAATGCGAATCTCGAAAGTTGATTTATTTTTCTGTTTAGGAAATAATTTACAGTTATCGGGCAAACAGCTATTTTTGGTTGTTGTTATTTTAAATGCAAAATGACGTCAATATGATTGATATACTATTTATACAACATTTCTATTAAATCATTTATTAATTATTCAATTATGATATATACATTCCATCATTTCATTGTGATAGTAATAAACTAAATTGGAGATATTGGAGTGAATAAATAATAAATATATTGTTAGTACACATTTAGCAGATACTAATTAAAAATCTCGGTTTTACGGATAAAGTTCAAAGAACAGTTTCATAATAAACATCTTCTTGATATAGCGGATATCTCGGTTTAAAGGATTTTTGGAAAATTTTCCCTAATTGCCCAAACTATCCATTAAATCGAGATTCACTGTGTATTAGAATAGAAAAATAAATAAATAATACCTTCTTTTTTGCATATAAAATATAATAATAAAAGAAGAATGTAAAGCGAGCATATCTATGTCGTAAAAAAAATAATAAAAATCAATAATTTAATGTTTGAAAGAATAGCTTAATTAATAGTCGTGTGAGGCTGCTTTTTCTATATGTGAAAATAAATTTGAAATTCGTGTCACATGAAGTTTTTTGTTATTTTTATAATAAACTCGAAATTCGTTGTTAGAGTAAAATGAAAGTACTCCATTAAGCTTTCTAATGAATACTCTTTCATATCAAAACGTCACATCTACATAAATTCACGGCTATTCAAAAACGGTATTACTTTTTCCCTTCAAACCTCAGATTATTTCTCAATATCGCTTTAAAAGACTTGATAGTAAATGAGAAGGTGTAGAATACTTTAAGC